AAGAAAGCGTTTGAAAAAATAATATTGGAATTATGAGGGGACCTGGGAATCGAACCCAGGTCCCAGAGATCACCAAGTGCATTGCCAACCACTACACAAATCCTGCGCGTTTGTTAATATAATGGGAACTAAATATTATATATAAAAAATGCGTTATATGCTGAAAAATAAAGAAAAGCGCGCGTGGTTTGAATCAACCACACACACACAGACACCTCATCATCGTCTTCCTCTTATCTGCAAAATAGAAACAAGATAGCGGGGGTTTTTTAACCCCCACTAACTACAATGACAGAAAATAGCGAATAGAGTTAGGGATAACATAAAAAGGGCGCGAGGTATCCATCATGTTCGTCTCATCACGTTGAGTTTGACCATGGGTGTTTGGAGGATTAATTTTACAGTATAAGAAAAACCCCAATTCCAAAGCTTTGAAAACCTAACATCCGTCCATGGTGATTTTCAGTTTAAGGCACCATTCTCAAATTAAATCATGTCAAAAGTTTCAGCACAATGTTAGAAAGTCAAAACAATATTCAAAACATGTTAAGGATGCGTGCAAAATGAATTCAGATTGTAAGAAAAAATGATGAACCGTGTGACTGTGTAGCACGAGTTCTTGAGTGATTTGGCTTGTTCTTGGCTGCAAACGATTCCTGGGGATGTAAGGAACGTGTTTTGATCAAAAGGAAAGCTTGAATTGGGTTGGAAAATGGTTTTTAGTTTGTGACTTTTCTCTTGAAATTTTGAAATTGCTTTGGCCGTTTATGAGTGTTCTAGGTCCTGAATTGGATTGGCAAGGCTTGCATATATGTTTAGCAATGAGAATCAATCAATATAATGGACCTTAAAGCCTTGTAATGAAGTTTTGATTTTCTCCATAACCACCATTAAACTGTTAGATATTTAGGGTGTGATAATCCTGGATAACTTCGAAGAATCGTGTTCGTACACTTTCCAGAACTAAGTATTTCGACCCTATTCTTGCCTGGGTTCACGAAATCTTTGTGGGGATAATTCTCGAAGAAATTCTGTTTCCGACAAAAGAAAACGAATTGTAATTATAGAGAGAAGGATGCGTTTTTTTTCTGTGTGCGAGACCGAGGCCGAACGACTCCTTATATAGGAGAACAGTAATTGAAAACGAAGAGACATATTTGTTCGAAACGAATATGTCAGTTGGGAAACAGTTATGTCCGTTGGGGAAAGGATTCAAAATTTTTGCACGGGGCGCTGCCCCTTGGAACCCCAACGGGGCGCTGCCCCGCACCCCGCTAGGGGCTTCGCCCCTTGGAACCCCGTTTCAATTATTCGTATTCAATTATGCATTGGCTCGAAGAGCATGCACTCCGCACTTCCCTAACTCGTCTCCGAACTTAACGCATAATTGCATCGGCCTTTAGAAATCACATTACTACTAAAATACATTGGTGATACAAAATCGCCAACATAAACAACTTGCCATTTTTGCTCCAAATTTGAATTTCTTGCTTGGAATAGGTCTTACACGAAATTGGTATGTGTTTCATGATGCATCAAGGCTATTCAAACTCAAAGATATCCCTTAATTAATTTCCTTGATTTTTTATTTGAATTTTAAAGATTTAAAATGTATTAAACCAAATAAAATTAAATAAAAATAGAAAAATTAATTTTTAATTTTGAAATAAATCATGGGATACGTGGGAGGCATGGCAAAGCTGAATCAAGTGGAAAAAGTGGACCCTTTTTGTCAAAAATGAAGTTTCAAGGATAGTTGACTTTGGCCATTTCACAAAAATTTCCCAACTTCTCCAATGCATATCTTGCTCAATTTTGATCTTATGAACATGTTCTTGGATATTTTGGAAAGGTCTTGAAGTCCTCTAACCAATGCCTTTGGTCCCATGTCATTTTGATTTACCAATCTCAAGTTATGGTCTTTGACTTAAAGTGCCTTTTTGTTGACTTTTGAAAATGACCTATAATGTGGAAATTGATAACTTTTTGTGAGAGAATTTCTTGGACTTGGAACGTGAAGATGAGTTGTAGGAAATGTCCTCCCCTTAAAAATGAGCATTGGATGGGATTTTTCTGATGAACCATGAAAAAGTTATGCCTTGGTCAAGTTACAGTTGACTTTTTAGCTATCCAAAAATGGAAACTTTTGCATCTTGATGATTTTTGAGCCATTCTTGTAGAATCATGATCAAGACTTGATCAAATGATGATTGTGGCTTCAAAATAAGATGTTGACCAAAAATTTTGACTTTTGACTGCCAAATGACCATTTTACCCCTACAGTTGATTGTGAAGCAATTAGGGTTTTTGACTGTGCAACTTGACCTTGTGAGCCTTGAAACTTGACATGTAGATGCTTGACAATGTATATAGGCATGTGAGACTTGATTGAGCCCTTGGAAACCTCAACTTCCTTGCAAGAACCAAAACCCTAATTTTAACTGGCTTAAGAGGATGGTTGACTGTGTAACCCTTGAGTAGACTTGAGCAAATTGAGATGATGCTTGTCAAAACTTTGAAGAATATGGGAGGGCAAATTTTGGGGTGCAACATATGTCAAAGAAATACTCGAGAGATTCATAATGGATGATTCAAATCCTACACACTCACATGTCGAACCAAATGTAAAATTGGAGAAGAATGTAGGGGAAGACAAAGTCGATGTAACTTTGTTCAAGCAAATTGTAAGATCTCTGAGGTATGTGTGCAACAGTCGACCTGATATAGGTTTCTCCGTAGGATTAATAAACAGATATATGAGTGAACCAAGAGTTTCACACATGAAGGCTGCAAGAAGAATCCTGAGATATTTGAAGGGTTCGATAAATTGTGGAATATTATTTCGACAAAATTCTGAAGACAAAGAAACAATAGTTACTTATTTTCAGATGTTGATTGGTGTGGAGATAAGGAAGATCGAAGAAGCATAACTGGATATTTCTTTCAAGTATTTGGTGCCCCAATCTCATGGTGTTCGAAGAAACAACCTGTATAGCAGGATCCTATGCTGCATGTCAAGCAATTTGGATCAGATCTGTACTTGAAGAAATGAAAGTCGAAGTGAAGAAACCTCTTGTATTGCAAATCGATAACAAGTCAGCCACAAATTTGGCGAAGAATCCAGTTCTGCATGGAAGAAATAAATATATTGAAGCAATATTTCACTTCTTGAGGGAAAAGGTAAATTAAGGTGAACTTGAAGTAAGACATTGCTCGAGTGAAGCACAATTGACCGATATTTTCACCAAAGGATTGAAGATTGACAAATTCCTGAATTTGAGAAAGAAATTAGAAATAACTTAGATTGACTATTTTTGAGGATGTTCGACAACTTGAAATATTAAATTAGATTTGTTAAAATATTATATTAGATTTGATTTAATATCTAAATATAATCCTAGTTGTGTAGATCCAAACTCAATTAGAGTTGTATATAAATAGTGTTAATCTGTATATTATTTATACAATTCAATAATATAAATCCTTATTTCATTTATTATTCATTTTTTCTCTCCTCACGAAAATGCCTCACGCACCAACATCATCATGATATATTACATACTTTAACTTCCATTCATTATCAAAGAATGAACCTTTACACTAAATACATGTATGTAATGTATATTGATAAATGTACTTTACACGAAGTCAAAATATACAATGTACTTTGATGAAGTGATAATAATAACAATATAGAGACAATATATTAATAAATTATAATTATCTAAAATATCATTATATCTTTAAATATATTAAAATAATAAATATTTTTAATTATATGTAATAAATTATAATTGTGCAATAAAAATATAATTTTTTAAAATAATTTATTATCATAATATTTCACTACCCATCGTATCAATAAATAGTAAAATCTTATATAATATCATTTATTTGATGTCTAAATAACATTTTTAATTGACATGTTTCAATACCTACATACATAGTAATTTATATGCATATAATATTAGCAAGCACAAAGACAAATAAGAAAACAGACATAAAATCCACAAGTATTTTCTCCAATGAATAAAGGGTATATTAGTCATTGTAAGTCATCAGTATGATGGTGCCGTGCCTCATTGGAACACAAACACACTTTAGTAAATTGATTTGTAAGTTGCAACTGGAACGGTATTCGTTTTGATTCTGACGTGGTTTTAATTGATGGATATAAACAGCTTCCTCAAAAAAACATCAAACATAACAACGTAGTAGAACTTGTTTCAAACATAACAACTCTTCTATGTCTCTCACCAAAAGTGAAATCTAACCAAAAAAGTAAGCACAATTTCTAGGGTTTTCATCTCCAATTTCCACAATTTCAATGTATGTTTTCTTCCCTAACCACTTTCTCTTTTCACTTATTTTTATTAAAATTATCATATATTAGTTACTGCTTCTTCTTTCAAGCTGTTCCTAGTACAAATTGTTCTATGTTTTCACCCTTATTCAACACTTTAAAGCTTACTATTACGTTAAATTCTGTTTCATCTTGTTTCTTAGGTTGCTTATGTTTTACTTTTTCGATCATTTGTTTATCAGATCTATTGCTGCTATAATCTTGCTTGCTAATTTTCATTTTGCATCTTTTTCTTTTGGTAAGCTCACTTATTTAATTTTATGTTGCGTTTTAACCCTACTTGTATTGCATGTTTGTAACTACGGAAACAAGTCAACAGTTTCAATTTTTTCAATTTGGATTTGTTGCTAACTGTACTGTATTGAGGATTAAGGATATTGCTTTATCAATTGTTGTTGTCTCTCTGATTCCTATGTCTTTTCTATCTTCTACTATGTATTCTGTTGTAAATGTTTAATGTGTTTCATTTATGGTAATGTAATGTGTGTGTTTTCGAAGATATTTGTTCTTGAATGCTTCTGAAATTGGATTCTTTTGTTGGCGTGCAGTTATGGTATTGAGGATTTTAGTATAACGATAACGAAGAACGGCGCGGGATTAACTTCCTTTTGAGTTTTATGACTGTTGGATTTTCATTATGAGTGGTACACCTAAGAGATCTCATGAAGAGTCTGTTCATTCGTCTTCAAAACACCCGCATGAAGATGCGGGTTCATATTCTAAATTGGTGCCGTCGTCAGTTTCGAATGAGTATCATATGTCTTATGATATAGGTCAGGATTCCCGGGTGGCAAAAGTGCCGCGTGATGGGGATAGAAGATCTCCCCTTCATTCAATTTACCGGATGCCGTCTTCTTCTAATGATTCTCATGCTGATCATCTTGTTGGTCCCGAGAAGAGATTAGAATCAAGAGATTTAAAGGACAGTAGAGATATCCGGTTTGAAAATCGGGATACGAAGATAGAGAAGAAGGAGTTGTTTGGCGAAGTGAGAAAGGATCCTTTTCCTCAGAGTGGTAAAAGTGAAAAGGACACACATGTTGAAGTTAGAGGAGATGAGAACAAGGATGTCCGACATGATCGGGATAGTCATAATGATTCAAAAGGTGATATTAAGACTGAAAAGGAGAGTTATAATGCGGCTAGTGGTCTTCACTTGAATTGGAAAGATTCAAAAGAATACCACAAAGGAAAAATGTATTCTGATCCTCCCGGTGTGAGTTTGGAACCATGGAATATGTTACGTGGCAATACTCAAGGTTCACTTGAGATTGGAAAAGAGAGTTCATCAGCAGAACAAAGGGAGTACGGCGTGGAAGTTCATGAAGCTGTTGGGGAGAACAAAATTGATTCTAAAGTTGACGATAGATCCAAAGAGAAAGATAGAAAAAGAAAGGAAGTGAAACATCGGGACTGGGGGGAGAAGGAAAAGGAAAGAAGTGATCGTAGAAACAATGCACAAGTTAGCAACGCGAGCAATGACTGCAAAGAATCTGTGAATGATTGTAGAAACAGCGCACAAGTTAGCAACACGGGTGGTGAGTGGAAAGAGTCTGTGAAGCAAGATAGTGGATTGGAAAGGTGGGAGAGGGAGAAAAAAGATCTTCCGAAAGAAAAAGAAAATTTAAAAGAGAGAGAAAAGGATCAGATGAAGAGGGAATCATGGAACATAGCTGAGAAAGATGTTTCGAATAATGAGAAGGAACCTGTTGAAGGATCAGCTAAGGTTCCCGAACAAGATGTTGTGTTGCCAGATCAGAAGAAACACAAAGATGTTGATAGAGAAGCTAGAGACAAGAGAAAAGAAAGGGAAGCTGATTTGGTAGGAGACAAGTCTGATAAACGTAGTAGGTTCTTTGACAAGGAATCAGATGATGGATGTGCTGATGGAGAAGGAGCAATTGAAAAAGAGAGGGATGTTTATAACTATAGTGGTCAGCACCGTAAGAGGATACAAAGATCACGGGGGAGCCCTCAAGTTCCTAATCGGGAGCCTCGTTTTAGATCCCGCATCCAAGACAACGAAGGGTACTTTCTTCCCCTTCCTTGATTTTTTATTATTTGTAAAATATACCATGGTTCAAATATCTTGTGAAATTGTCGATATTTTATTATCACTTATAATTTTATAATAGTTGAAGCTTCATAATTACATTAGATAGATGTTTCTTTATCTTAATTGATCGAATCCTCTTTTAACGGTGTTTGTATGTATGGTTCTTCATTATATTCATTCTAGTAATTATATCTTGCCATATATTTTGCAGGTCTCAAGGTATGCTATCATTTTCTTTCGGTGGCTTGATTTAACGTAACACAGGTGCCGCCAGCAGAAATTCTTGTGCTGGCCCATTGCTAATCAACATATGACAATGTTTATTGATGGCACGCAGAAGATTTGAGCAGAGTAGTCAATAGCGGCGCCATCCCGCTAGGCTGGCCGCTATGGGAAGAGCCTTACTGGTGCAGAACACTATAGCGGCCGCTATAGAGTAAATAGCGGTTAGCGGGGGCAGAGAGGTGCCCGGCTCGGAGCGGTTTCTTTCCTGCTATCCTTTTCCCCGTTGAAAAACCGAAATTACCCCTTAAATAAAATTAAAACGTTTTAAGGGTAATTTTGGGTTTTTGAATCAAATTTGAGTTGAGACTCAACCCTAACCTTCCTTCACCGACATTTCTGCACTTCAGCCGTTCCAAAAAAAATCACAAGTTCCTTGTTCTTCCCTCTGCACTTCATATGTTTATAATTATTGTTCATGTAATTTTTTCATAGAATGATTAAATGGTGGTAATCCCGCAATAGGCCATCCCGCTATCCCATTTTTGGGGCCGGCCACTCCGCGCCGCTATCCGGGATTAACTACTCTAGATTTGAGTTCTGAAAGTACCTTTTCTTTGTATGACCAATATACTAGTTCTGATATTTCAGGTAAAGTAGAGGTTTCTTTTGTTGTTTACAAAGTTGGTGAAAGCATGCAAGAGCTCACAAAGTTGTGGAGGGAATATGAATCATCCCAATCTCAAATCGAAAGAAATGGTGAAAGCTCGAGTAATGGTCCCACTCTGGAAATTCGGATACCGGCTGAGTATGTTACTGCTACAAATCGTCAAGTAAGCCATTTTTTTGTCATTTTAAAATTGATGAAACTGTCGATTGTGCTTTTTCTCTTTAAATGATTTGATCTTATTATACTGATTAAGTTATTTTGAGTAGTTTCGCCTTTGCATCATCTTCTGCCTGCGTTGATCCAGTGAATACAATGCTACTGTTAATTTATAGATTTGTTACTAGTAACAATTCAATGTAAAATACTAAAATTTTTAATAACATTGATTCTAATTATTTTAAGATTTGCTCTAGCCTTTAATAGCTTAGATTTATCTGAATCTTCTGCTTCTTCCATTAATTCATATCAATATTCTGCCAATAGTCTGGCACCTTTAGATTTATGTGAATCTTCTGCTTCTTCCGTAGTTCCACGCTCGTTTTCAAGACTGCATGATATTTTTTGGTCAAGTAGTTTTCCTCTTATTATGAAGTCCTCCTTGGAAGTTTAATTTCTACTGCTAGAATGTTTTTACAACCAAAGAACTATAGGTCTTAACTGTTCAGTTGATCTTGTCTTGTTGTCATCATGCTTTTATAGAATAAGATATTTGAACATGATTGTGATAATATTTGAACAAGATTTTTCTATTAATTCTGTATCATATATTGAGAGTGACATTGTTATATTCAGGTTAGAGGTGGCCAGCTTTGGGGGACTGATGTGTACACATATGACTCGGATCTTGTTTCTGGTATATGTCTTTTAGAAAATGGATGAATTTGCTTGATTTTGCATATACTGGAAGATATGTGTTTAACGTTAGTATTGGCACAGTTCTCATGCATACAGGTTACTGTCGCCTAACATCTCAGCCTCCTGCAGCCATTCAAGAATTGCGCGCAACCATTCGGGCGCTACCTCCAAAAGATTGTATGCCCCACAGTCTTAATCACTATTATTGTTAATAACATCTAATTTCCTTTTAAGCAGTAATGAAGTAAAAACTAAGAAATTTTTTAATTATGTAACCTCAGGCTATATTTCTACACTGAGGAACAATGTACGTTCCCGCGCTTGGGGGGGTGCTGCTAATGGCTGCAGTTATCGAATCGAACGGTGTTGCATTGTGAAGGTAGTATCAGACGACCTGCAAAATCTCCTATAATTATTAGCAATTTAATATCTAACTGCTAGTATTGTTTATCTTCAGAAAGGAGGTGGAACTATTGATCTTGAACCTTGCCTTACACACACATCAACTATTGAGCCCACCCTTGCTCCAGTGGCTGTGGAGCGGACAATGACTACCAGGGCTGCAGCTTCGGTTTGTATCAGCATCTACTAATAAGCAAAAGTTTTTTTTGCCTCTGAATCAATAATTGTTTATGTTGTTTCGTAGTTATTATTACTGTCTTATATTCTGGCCTTCATTTTTCAGAATGCATTGCGGCAGCAAAGATATGTTCGAGAAGTTACGATTCAGTACAATCTTTGCAACGAGCCATGGTATGCTAGTTTATGTTGGTAAACTGATTGACTAATCCAATACTGTGCTGAGTTGGTGCAAAAATAATGGGAACCAATTTGTGTTATTTTAGTAATGTATGAAAACATCTCAATTTTCGGATATGCAATGTGGATTGAGATGCAGTATTTCTTATCCTGTTCTAGATACCAGATGCAATGCAACATTTATTTTGCACTTTATCATCTTAATTTTATCTTATACACCTAATCATCAGGATCAAATATAGTATAAGCATTGTAGCTGACAAGGGTCTGAAAAAGCCACAATACACATCTGCTCGATTGAAGAAGGGAGAAGTTTTGTATTTGGAGACACACACATCCAGGTATTTTGACACTTCGACACGAAAGTTCTGTCACTAAATGAGTGATCTTATGTCCAACTATTATGTGTTCATTAAAAAGTTCCTTCTGTTGAAGTCATGAAGGAACTTCCTTCTGTTGTCCTTTTAACTGAGTCGTTTTGTTGTAGATATGAGCTTTGTTTTGCTGGAGAGAAACTGGTCAAGGCTACACCAGCAACTCAGTCGCATGACTCAGGCGCAGAGAAGTCTCATAATCACCACCCACATTCTGCAAATGGCGAAAAGCATGAGCATGATCATGTCATGATCGATGCCTTCCGGTGGTCTCGTTGTAAGAAGCCTCTGCCACAGAAAGTGATGCGCTCGATTGGCATCCCGGTGCCTCTTGAACATGTAGAGGTATTTTTCTTACCACTCTACATTTAATTTCCATTTGCACGCAAAACAATGTATGTAATACTATTATTTACGCAATGATTAGGTGTTGGAGGAGAACTTGGACTGGGAAGATATACAATGGTCGCAAACTGGTGTTTGGATTGCTGGAAAGGAATATACCCTTGCAAGGGTGCATTTCCTCTCAATGAATTAATTTACTTTTTTTGGGATTCTATTTATGTTTATGTCCTCTAGTGAGATGAAATAACCAATGTATTAAATATTAATCTATGTACTTACTGGATAGATATTGCGTCTTGTATGTTGTAACTCTAGCAGTTTAGTTTATGTAGCATGCCTATGCTGACTTGTGAGACCAATAAAAGTTGATGTATGTTGTCAATATTTTTTTAAACCATGCTTGATTGCTAGGGGCTTGGCTCATGCGATTGTTTCTTATTGCAAAATACAGATATTCAACAATCAATTAGGAATTAGCACATTACTAGCATATTTTACATCAAGAGTAATCAGTTTTCCATATAGCGAAAAAGCAATACAAACATCTGGTGTAGAGTGTAAAAGAAATTCATTAAGCTAAAGGAATATGCATTATCAAATGAGAAAAGCTAGGTTGACACTAACTTTTGACACTTACACCGTAGCTTCTACTTTTTCATGTACATTTTGTGTTTTTTAATAGTTTATCATCTTAGAATTCTGTGCCAAGCCATATTTGCTTTGGAGTATTAAGCTAGGGTCATATACGGTGTAAAAATATTGGTGTCATAATAGCGTTCCTCTTTAACCAAAGCATCCTTTATACATTTCAAAGTAGAGATTTCCTGACACACAAAATTTCATTACTACTTGCAAATGAAAAGGATGCATCCAAAACAATATCTTAAGGGTTGTCAAAAGCGGCCGTAGCGGCCGCTATAGCGGCGCTCCGTAGCGGAGCGGTGGCCTCCCGCGCGCTAACATGGGGGCGGTAGCGGAGATGGGATAGCAGCCGCTTTTCATGACATAGCGGATCGCCCGTCGCGGATTTTTCCCGGGCGGAGCGGATTTGCAGTTTTTCTTTTTTAAATTTTTTTAAACAAAATTACTGTTTTGCCCTTATTATTTTATAAAATAATATGTAAAATAGTTTGTTATAACTCACGCTTCTTTCTTTTTGCCGTTCGTTTCTTTTTCTTCTCCTTGCTCTACCGTTCCGCTTCTCCTTTCTCCTTGCCCTACCGTTCCTCTCTCTGCCGTCTCCTACTGTTTCCAGCTTTTCTCTGCCGTCTCTTCTCCTTTCTCCTTGCCTGTTTCCAGCTTTTCTCTTCGCCGTTTCTCGTCGCCGTCTCTCTTCACCGTTTCCACCGTTTCCGTTTCACCTTTCCAGTAAGCACTCTTCTTCTTCTACTTAGCCAATCAGCAAGGTACAACTCTGATTCAGCAAGGTACACTTCTTCTATTTACATGTGATACACTTTCCAGTTTCACCGTTTCTAGTTTTTTTCTTCTAAGCCAGCAAGGTACAATTGGAAAGGGGGTAGAGTTAATATACTCCAACCCCACTGTGCTGACTCAGCACAACAATGACACATGCCCTTTCTATACTTATGCCATGTGTAAATGTACCCTTTATATACTTATGCCATAATTCATATACTCTAATACTTCTTCACCTTTCCAGCAAGCCAGCAACGTACTGTTTCTACTTTTTTTCTATCTATTCTAGTCCTTACTTTTTTTGTTTATGTTCTAGAAAAATATGGCAGCTTCTTCGTCGACACCGTCAGTAGCTTCATGTGCTCCAACATTCAAACCAACCAATAGTAAGGACATAGGATAGAAATACAATCATTTGAAGAATTTGAATGATAGGAAGAAGGTGACATGTGATTTTTGCAATTTAACCAGCAGTGGGGGAATAAGTAGAGCCAAAAGGCATCAATTAGGAATTACCGGTGATGTAATTTCTTGCACGAAAACAGCCGACGATGTTAAGGCTATATTACGTGCTGACATGGTTGATAAAGAGAGAATTAAGAAAGGAATACAAGAGATTTCAGTGCAATTGGATGCAGATGATACAATTGATATTGAGGAAATACGTAGAATTCGAACCGGAAAGAGGATTGCGGAGAGTGAGAGCTCTTCAATTGCTTTCAAGAAGACTAAAGGATCGTTGGATTTGGTGTATAAAAAGAGTAAGGACACAAGCATCAACGATGCGTGTGATAAAGAAGCGAGGGCAAGAACCATTCAATATATTGGTCGCTTTTTTTATACGTGTGGGGTTGCTTTTAACGTAGCACATGCAAGAGCTTTTAAGTTAATGTTGGAAGCCGTTGGAAGTTATGGTCCTCATTTGAAACCGCCAAATTATCATGAACTCAGGGTTCCAATCCTTCAGAAAGAATTGGAATATACAAAAGATTTGTTGAAAAACCAAGAGGTGCAAAGGAATAGATATGGATGTTCAATTATGTCGGATGGTTGGACAGATAGAAAAGGTAGAACATTGATTAACTTCTTGGTCAATTGTCCGGCGGGGACCATGTTTGTGAGAAGTGTTGATGCATCAGACTATGCTAAGACGGGGGAAAAGCTAGCCGAATTGTTGGACACTTTTATTGAGGAAATGGGTGAAAAAAATGTTGTTCAATTGATTACCGACAATGGAAGTAATTATGTAGCGGTGGGTAAAATATTGTGTTTGAAGAGGCCTCACATGTTTTGGACTCCATGTGCTGCCCATTGTATAGACCTTATGTTAGAAGACATGGGAAAAATTCCAAAGGTTAAAAAGGTTATACAAAAAGGGGTTAAGGTTGTGGGCTACATTTATAACCATACTTTTGCTTTAAATCTAATGAGAAAGACTACTGGCAATGTTGAATTGGTTAGACAAGGAGTGACAAGGTTTGCTACCCATTTCCTTTGTCTACAAAGGATGCAAGAACTAAAAGGCAAGCTTAGAAAGATGTTTCTTTGTGAAGAATGGACGACTTCCAAGTGTGCCAAAGATGCCAAAGGACAAAGGGCAGCCACTACTATACTTACGACTTCATTTTGGAATGATGTTCTCTACACTCTTAAGTGCATGGCGCCTCTTGTAGATGTGCTAAGAATGGTTGATAATGAAAAGAAACCCGCAATGGGATACATATATGCCGCAGTGAGAGTAGCGAAAGAATCAATTGAGAAAGCTTTTAGTTCAAATTCAAGCAAGTACAAAGCTGTATTTGAAATCATTGATAAAAGATGGGAGTGTCAACTTCATCATCCGCTACATTCTGCAGGTCACTATCTCAATCCATAATATTATTATTCTAAACCAGAAATTGAGAAAAATGGTAGATTGGTGAGAGGCCTCCGTAAGTGCATTGAGACACTTAGTGAAAGTTATGAAGTGGAAGATTTGATTTCAGAACAATTGTCACAATACAGGGGTGCTACGGGTCTCTTTGGTATAAAAGCGGCAATTAGACAAAGGTCGACATTAGCTCCAGGTAAGATGAAATAATTTTTTGCTAAATTACATGTGATACACTTTGTGTTATGTATATGGAATGAGTTTTTACAATTACTTGCAGCCGAGTGGTGGAAGTCTTATGGAGCCGAAACTCCGGAGTTGCAATTGTTGGCTGTTAAAGTGTTGAGTTTGAGTTGCAGTGCTTCCGGATGTGAGCGTAATTGGAGCATCTTTGAGCATGTGAGTATTAATTTTTTACTAGGATTTTAAAGTATCTTACATGCAAGTATTATTAAATTAATACTTCAAATGATTGCATTTTAGATTCATTCTAAGAAGAGAAATAAATTGGAACATCAAAGATTGCAAGACTTGGTGTTTATCAAGTATAATCAAGCTTTGGTAGAGAGGTTTGAAATTCGGGATAAAATTGATCCTATGGAATTTAATGAAATTAATTTCCACACCGAATGGTTGGTGGGAGAGATGGAAAAGGTAGGAGATGATGGTGAAGACTTGGTTCATCCAAATGATGATTTAACTTGGAGTCAAGTTGCCGATGCTAGTGGGGCTAATGAGCCTATAATCTACACTAGGAGGACAACAAGGCAAAATGAAGTTGGAAGTACTTCTCAAGCAACAACGGCACCAAGAGCAACAATTACACCAAGAGCAACAATGGCAACTAGAGCACCAATGGAACAACAAGTGATGGAAGATGTTGAAGAAGTTGAAGATGAAGAATTGGAGGAAGATTTTGAAGAAGTTGAAGATGAAGAAATGGAGGAATATATTGAAGAAGAAGAGGAATTTTTTGATGATGCTATATGATTTCTATGTTTGACATTTGAACCTTTATGTTTGAATCTTTATGTTTTGAGTCTTGATTAAGCATTGTTCTTTGTTTGACATTTGAACCTTTATGTTTTGAATCTTTATGTTTTGAGTCTTGATTAAGCATTGTTCTTTGTTTGACATTAGATTTTATAAGTATTTTATGAGTGTTGTGGAATTAATTTAGTATTGCATGACATATGTTTTATAACATATGTTTTATAGATTATTATATAATTATTAGTATACAAAAAGTTGTCCCGCTATCCGGAATCCCGCTATTCCCGCTTTTCCCATTCCCGGGGGTCGGCCGCTCCGCTCCGCTCCGCTCCGCTCCGCTCCGCTCCGCTATCCGGGATTAACAACTCTGATCTTAAGTCATTGCAGCAAGTGAAATCTTTAGGAATTTCGGGGAGAATCAGATCTTGGTCATCATCATCATTCATTGGACTAGAATGTAGATTAGTAATTGTGAGTCTGAAGCAGACCAGCCAAGGTGGATAGTATAATCTGCAACTCAAATGTGCAAACTGGCAACTCCATGATTGTAACCAGCAGCAAATGTTAGCCGGACCAGTGCATCTGTAAAGATGAACCTACCAATGATACAGTATCTCATGAAACAACAATCCAAGCAACAGAATTGACAAAATACTCCATTAGCATTCAAAAATTTCAAATCTACACGACTGTACAAAAAGTTATGAAACCTATTCAACTTGATAATCAACAGCAATTCCCCAAACACCACACTTTCCCTGCAACCACAGCAATCTCTTATCACCCTTCAGAGACACAAAAATCTCGCGCGCACTAGAACTAATCTCAAACAAATCCAAATCTCTGCAACTCATCCAAAACCTTGATGCATTTACTTATTGAAAACCTCTCCTCATTCTTCAAAATCACAAATGATCTCATCAACAATCGCGTCACCGGTAGCCTTCTTGCTCCGCTTCCGGCCACCAAAACCCGATAGAACAACAGCAGGATAAGGTTTGTGTCCATCCAACATATTCAAATCTGCTCCAGAGCCCGAAGTACCATCCTCATTAACATCGGCCATATTGTCACTGCAAGTAAATTATCAATATCATTCAAATTGCAACCCAATTGCAGAAAATTTTCAATGCATACAATTCACCAACAATGAAATAAATAAAAAAATGGAAAATTTGAAATGAATAAAAGAACCCTTAAGTTAAAATTAACCAAATAGGTAAAAATAAGCTGAAACAGAACGAAAAGATGATTTTTTTAAACGTTTGAAAGGAAAGGAACAAAGGATCATACCGTGTTGGATGAAGCTATTGATTGCAAGAATTAGGGTAACGAAAATATTGGGGAAATCACGATGTTCTTAGAGATTTGGTTATTGGAAACGCATTATTACAAGTGTGAATGGAAAAGGGAAGGAAACACTGTGACTCTGAAAACCCTAATCATAAACACGATTGCGAAAGGAAAAGAAATATATTGCTTGTTTGTAATGACTCTAACAACTGGCCCATTAGCTCAGTTGGTTAGAGCGTCGTGCTAATAACGCGAAGGTCGCAGGTTCGAGACCTGCATGGGCCAATTTTTTTCCTTCAATTTTCTCTTCTTTTAGTGATGGATAGCATCTGTCACTATAGTGCTTCTTCGTAGCTAAAAGTGAGAAACCACCTATAACAATATTTTCAACTAACACGTTATCTGTCACTATACGGCCTTCTCCGTAGCTAAAGGTAAAATCGCTATTGATAATATTTTCAATTGATCTATTTTCGTAATGTGGCAGAAGTTGAAAAAATATTGTAAAAATCCTTTACCTACGGATATAAGAATTTTTTGAAAATAATTTATTCTGTCAGTAAAAGTCAATTTAAATTTAAAGAATTAAAACCAAAAATGCAAGGTTTTGGTGCCATCCATAATTTTACCTTAAAACCCACGACAGCGCTAGTGACTCTTACTGACTTTTTCATTTTGTTTAAGAGACTTTTGTATATATATTTTAATTTAAATATATTTAAAATACATTTAAGTTAAATATATATTATAAAAGTCTCTCAAATCGGTGTTTTAAAAATCAGATCGGATGATTTAGTAAAACCGGTCAAATAGAAAATTGGAAGAATAGCCATGTGGATATGTCAAAAAGGGAATAAAGAGAAAGTGTACTGATTGAAAAAAACTCTTTATGGCTTGAAGCAAATCTCACGAGTTTCTGTAGTCAGATAGAGACATATTTTTTAAAAATGGAAATAAAAAAGTGTGATTATGAGCACACTATTCTTCAAGACAGACCAGGAAGACAAGATCTTAATTGTGAGTATGCATGTTGATGATCTCATCTATATTGGTAATGATCCTTTAATGTTTACTTCTTTTATGAGTTATATGAAGCAAGAGTTTGATATGATGGATCTCAGTAAGATGCGATATTTTCTTGGTCTTGAAATTGTGTAATTTCACAACAGTATTTTTGTATCTCAAAAGAAATATGCAAAATCCTATAGTACCAAGAATAAAAGATCACAAAAGAAATTGGCAATGATGAGTGGGTGAATAATTCTCACTATAAGCAAACTTATTGGATGTCTCGTGTATCTAATAACTACTACATGACCTTGATTTGTCATATGTTGTCGGTTTCCTTAGCCGTTACATGGAGAATTCTTCAGTGAAACATATACTGGTAACAAAGCAGGTATTACACTATTTAATGGAAACTGCTGATTTTGAAATTCTTTACAAGAAAAGGTGGAGTAAATGAAATTGCAACATACACAAATAACAATTATGATGGTGACGTAGATGATCGAAAAAACACTTCTGGTTATGTTTTCATGCTTAACTCTGGTGCAATTTCATGGTACTCAAAGAAACAACATGTAGTTAGCTTATCCACGACAAAGGCTGAATTTATAGCTGTTGCCTCTTGTTCTTGTCAAGTAGTGTGGTTACCAAGCTTATTGGCAAAGTTAAATCAATTTTCTTAAAATAAATGCATATTGGTTAACTGTGACAACAATTCAACTATTAAACTGTCTAAAAACCCAATTTTGCATGGTCGCAACAAACACATTGATGTCATATTTCATTTTCTTCGTGATATTCCAAAGAGGAAATTGAAAATTTGATTTACTGTGCTAGTCAAGAACAATTAGAAAATCGTATGGCCAAACCATTGAAGTTGAGAGTATTTTTGAAGTTGCAAAAGTCTCTCAGTGTTTGCTCTGATATTGAAGTAAACTGCAAACCAGAAGTTAAAATGAGAAGTTACAGTTTAAGAAGGATCTTGAGGATAGAAATTAGCACGTTGAGCTAATTGTTAGTGGGTCTAGGGGATGATTTTTTTTTGCTGTTAAGAAAAGACATATTCGATTGGTCTGTCTGTTTTATTTTAAAAGGTTGAATATGTTTGTAGTCCTCATAAATATTTTATATTTCACTTTTAGTCTCTCAAAAAAATTTCTTCAAAGAATAGTCCTCATAATTTTTTTTACCACACTTTTGGTCCCTCCTACAATTAAGCAGCAATTTTTTACAACTTAACAACAAAATTAACAATTTAGCAACGATATCTACTTAGTAATTGAATTAACGATGATTTTTACAGGAGGGACCAAAAGTGTGGATGAAAATTTTTAAAAAGACTATTATTCGAAGAAATTTTTTATAACGACTAAAGCCGAATTTAAATTATTTAATGAGACAAAAAATATATTTAATTTTATCTTAAATTAATGTCTTCTATTTTTTGGACTTGTTGTTTATTGTAGTGGTGGTTCTGTTTTGAATTCTTGTAACTAGGACTGTTCACGATACAATTTAGAGAGAAAACCAAATCGAACCGAACTAAACCATAGTAAAACTGCACTCAAACTGAACCGAACTGTTTCAATTTACTCAAAACTAAACTGAATCAAAATTATTGGTTTGGTATACCATTTCAAAATTCTAAACTGTTAAAAGACAATTTTTCCCGAACCAAACCGTTTATTAAAGAACTGAATCATTAAACTATTTTTAAAAAAAATTAAAACTTATTTTTAGTATTTTTAATTTTTAATTTTAGTTCAGTTCGATTTCAGTTTCGATTTGGTTCAGTTTCATTTTCGGTTCTAAATCTGTTTGTGTAATATGATTTGGTTCACTAACCAAACATAACAGTTTGATTATTTTAACCTCAGTTCGGCGATTCAGTTCAATTTATGATTATCTTAAACAATCCTACTTGTAACTGATGTAAGGGTGTGTTTGTTTCATGGATACAAATGTTATTTCCGAGAATATGACATTGGAACTCACATATTCTTTTGTTTGTTTTAAGTTTTGATAAATTATGCCCGTGTATTTTTTATTCTCAAGAATATGTTTTGTTCATGATTTTCTTCATTTTTATTCCCATGTCAAATGATGAAAATCTTATATTTCTATGGGAATATAAAATAACTAACCATAACTTCTCACTCTCATATTATTTTAACACAATTAATTTTTATTTTATAATTTTTAAAATTTAATTAAAAGAAAATCTAAAAATATTCTTGAGAATTTTATTCATTTGCCAAACACATCGATAGGAATAAAGTTCCAGACAATAATATTCCTAGGAATAATATTTCTGGAGTTATAATTTAATCCATCAAACAAACACATATTATACCGAGACCTTGAGTTTGAGTTTCGAAGTAACCCCAAGTAGTTTATATTAGCAGCCAACATCATCCTAAGCGCACTCTACATAGGGGAGTCGACGAACATAAGTGAGTGATCCCGTTTTTAATGAATAAATGATTTAACTAAAAAATAATGACCTTCTAAGTTAGGTAACCCTTACCCGATCATTTAGCCTAACAATTGTTATGCTTATATGATATAATAAGCACCCGTTGTTGGTTGATCCAGAGGTCACTAGTACTGGACTTGGTAGGGAAGACTACAGTTCGATCCCCCACAATTAGCAATAGGGGAAAATAGGGCTGCACCGCTTAGTACCAGAACCTCGTTCTTAAGAAAGATCATAGTCACTAACCGGTCCCCTTACTATGAGCGCGTACGGATAACAGACTTAAATTATTGCGCTAGAATGAAAGTGGGTGAAAAGAGAAGAAAAACATAAGTCGAGTTATAATAGCATGATTCAGTTTGGTTTGCATAGGATGGGAGTTTATGGCTTGTGTCACTATGGTATCATTGGTATTGATGTTTAGTACCTATCTATTTGATAATAGCCAAGCAACCACATATGATTAGAGTTTTTGTTGTGTGCATGTTTTCAAACCCGTGTTTTAATTGTTGTTGCGTTGGTTGATTGCTTGAGGACAAACAATATTCTAAGTGTGGGGGAGTTTAATAACTTGAAAATGTATCGTATTTCCGACTAGATTCGCATGCTATTTAGTTTCATTTCTCATTTTATCATGTTTTTACAACTTTGTCCTTGAGGGTTGATGTTTAAAAAATGCTTAGATTTGAAGATATAGGCTCATGAAGTCATGACTTTTTTTACAAAATACTTAGTGAAAATTTTAGCAAGTTTGGTCAGATTTTTGTCCCAATTTCTTGGCAATTTTTCACCTAGTTCCAATTTGATTTAGCCAAAGTGATCAACATGAAGGTTGTAAATAATGTTTCAAGATTTCAAAAATATCCAAGAACTTGAATAGATCATTTTTGAGCTAGGAGAATCAAAGAGAAGAAGTTGGCATCACAAAATTGAATTATAGGTCATTTTGTGATGAACCTTATGATCCAATCTTCAAGCATGCTGCATAATCTTGCTTTGCAGGGCTTCAAACTTGTAAATAACTCCATAATTAAATGTTTACACAACTGTTTGAGCCATTGTCCAAGTGTTTGAGACATTATCCAAGTTAATTTTCCATTAAAGGAAGAAAGCCAAGACTTCCATTTTGGAAAAGTGACTTTAATCAAAAAGTCAACTCTCCTTGAGCCTTGCACTTATTTTTTCTGATCACACTCCATTGTAAAGTGAAGAAGCAACCATCTACAAGTCTGTCAACCACCCTATGAGTCTTGTACTATACATTGGAATAATGTATGTCACGCTTGCTT